CGTGATCACATGTATAGTATTGACATGATCACATGTACAGTATTGACCCTCAACGTGATCACATGTACAGTATTGACCCTCAACATGATCACATGTATAGTATTGACATGATCACATGTACAGTATTGACCCTCGACATGATCACATGTATAGTATTGACCCTCGACCTTACCACACGTATAGCATTTACCCTCGACCTGACCACATGTACAGTATTGACCCTCGACGTGATCACATGTACAGTTTTGACCCTCAACGTGATCACATGTATAGTATTGACATGATCACATGTACAGTATTGACCCTCAACATGATCACATGTACAGTATAAACCCTCGACGTGATCACATGTATAGTATTGACATGATCACATGTACAGTATTGACCCTCGACATGATCACATGTACAGTATTGACCCTCGACATGATCACATGTACAGTATTGACCCTCGACATGATCACATGTACAGTATTGACCCTCGACATGATCACATCTACAGTATTGACCCTTGACGTGATCACATGTACGGTATTAACCCTCAACATGATCACACGATCAGTATTGACTCTAAACGTGATCACATCTACAGTATTGACCCTGAACATGATCACTTGAACAGTATTGACTCTCGACGTGATCACATGTGCAGTATTGACCCTCGACATGATCACATGAACAGTATTGACCCTCAACATGATCACATGTACAGTATTGACCCTCGACATGATCACATGTATAGTATTGACGTGATCACATGAACAGTATTGACCCTCGATGTGATCACATGTACAGTATTGACCCTCGACGTGATCACATGTACAGTATTGACCCTCAACCTGATCACATGTACAGTATTGACCCTCGACGTGATCACATGTATAGTATTGACGTGATCACATGTACAGTATTGACCCTTGACATGATCACATGTACAGTTTTGACCCTCGTCATGACCACATGTATAGTATCGACCCTCGACATGATCACATGTACAGTATTGACCCTCGACGTGATCACATGTATAGTATTGACAAGATAATATGTACAGTAATGACCCTCAACGTGATCCCTTGTATAGTATTGACATTATCACATGTACAGTATTGACCCTCGACGTGATCACATGTACAGTATTGACGCTCAACGTGATCACATGTATAGTATTGACGTGATCACATGTACAGTATTGACCCTCGACGTGATCACATGTATAGTATTGACGTGATCACATGTACAGTATTGACCCTCGACGTGATCACATGTACAGTATTGACCCTTGACATGATCACATGTACAGTATTGACACTTGACACGGTCACATGTAGAGTATTGACCCTCGATGTGACCACATGTACAGTATTGACCCTCGACATGATCACAAGTACAGTATTGTTTGACCCTCTACATGATCACATGTACAGTATTGAAATGATCACATCTACAGTATTGACCCTCTACATGATCACATGTATAGTATTGACCCTAGACATGATGACAGGAACAGTATTGACCCTCGAGATGACCACATGTACAGTATTCACATGATCACATGTACAGTATTGACCCTCGACATGATCCCATGTATAGTATTGACATTATCACATGTACAGTATTGACATTATCACATGTACAGTATTGACATGATCACATGTACAGTATTGACCTTCGACATGATGACATGTACAGTATTGACATGATCACACGTACAATATTGACCCCCGACGTGATCACATGTACAGTATTGACCCTCGACATGATCACATCTACAGTATTGACCCTCGACCCGATCACATGTACGGTATTAACCCTCAACATGATCACATGAACAGTATTGACTCTCAACGTGATCACATCTACAGTATTGACCCTCAACATGATCACTTGAACAGTATTGACTCTCGACGTGATCACATGTACAGTATTGACCCTCGACATGATCACATGAACAGTATTGACCCTCAACATGATCACATGTACAGTATTGACCCTCGACATGATCACATGTAAAGTATTGACGTGATCACATGAACAGTATTGACCCTCGACGTGATCACATCTACAGTATTGACCCTCGACGTGATCACATGTATAGTATCGACCCTCGACATGATCACATTTACAGTATTGACCCTCGACCTGATCACATGTACAGTATTGACCCTCAACGTGATCACATGTATAGTATTGACATGATCACATGTACAGTATTGACCCCCAACGTGATCACATGTACAGTATTGACCCTCGACATGACCACATGTATAGTATCGACCCTCGACATGATCACATGTACATTATTGACCCTCGACGTGATCACATGTATAGTATTGACATGATAATATGTACAGTAATGACCCTCGACATGATCCCTTGTATAGTATTGACATTATCACATGTACAGTATTGACCCTCGACGTGATCACATGTACAGTATTGACGCTCAACGTGATCACATGTATAGTATTGACATGATCACATGTACAGTATTGACCCTCGACGTGATCACATGTACAGTATTGACCCTTGACGTGATCACATGTACAGTATTGACACGACCACATGTATAGTATTGACATTATCACATGTACAGTATTGACCCTCAACGTGATCACATGTATAGTATTGACATGATCACATGTTCAGTATTGACCCTCGACATGATCACATGTACAGTCTTGACCCTCGACATGATCACATGTATAGTATTGACGTGATCACTTGTACAGTATTGACCCTCGACGTGATCACATGTACAGTATTGACATGATAATATGTACAGTATTGACCCTTGACGTGATCACATGTACAGTATTGACCCTCGACATAACATTACAGTATTGACCCTCGACATGGTAACATGTACAGTATTGACCCTCAAATGATCACATGTAGTCTTGACCATCGACATAACATGTACAGTATTGACCATCGACATGATCACATGTATAGTATTGACATGATCACATATACAGTATTGACCCTCGATGTGATCACATGTATAGTATTGACATGATCACATATACAGTATTGACCCTCGACATGATCACATGTATAGGATTGACCCTCGACGTGATCACGGTATACTATTGACATGATCACATCTACAGTACTGACCCTCAGCATGATAACTTGTACAGTATTGAACCTCAACGTGATCACATGTACAGTATTGACCCTCGACATGATCACATGTAAAGTATTGACGTGATCACATGAACAGTATTGACCCTCGACGTGATCACATCTACAGTATTGACCCTCGACGTGATCACATGTATAGTATCGACCCTCGACATGATCACATTTACAGTATTGACCCTCGACCTGATCACATGTACAGTATTGACCCTCGACGTGATCACATGTATAGTATTGACATGATCACATGTACAGTATTGACCCCCAACGTGATCACATGTACAGTATTGACCCTCGACATGACCACATGTATAGTATTGACATGATCACATGTACAGTATTGACCCTCGACGTGATCACATGTACAGTATTGACGCTCAACGTGATCACATGTATAGTATTGACATGATCACATGTACAGTATTGACCCTCGACGTGATCACATGTACAGTATTGACCCTTGACGTGATCACATGTACAGTATTGACACGACCACATGTATAGTATTGACATTATCACATGTACAGTATTGACCCTCAACGTGATCACATGTATAGTATTGACATGATCACATGTTCAGTATTGACCCTCGACATGATCACATGTATAGTATTGACCCTTGTCCTTACAACATGTACAGTCTTGACCCTCGACATGATCACATGTACAGTCTTGACCCTCGACATGATCACATGTATAGTATTGACGTGATCACTTGTACAGTATTGACCCCCAACGTGATCACATGTACAGTATTGACCCTCGACATGACCACATGTATAGTATTGACATGATCACATGTACAGTATTGACCCTCAACGTGATCACATGTATAGTATTGACATGATCACATGTACAGTATTGACCCCCAACGTGATCACATGTACAGTATTGACCCTCGACATGACCACATGTATAGTATCGACCCTCGACATGATCACATGTACATTATTGACCCTCGACGTGATCACATGTATAGTATTGACATGATAATATGTACAGTAATGACCCTCGACGTGATCCCTTGTATAGTATTGACATTATCACATGTACAGTATTGACCCTCGACGTGATCACATGTACAGTATTGACGCTCAACGTGATCACATGTATAGTATTGACATGATCACATGTACAGTATTGACCCTCGACGTGATCATATGTACAGCATTGACCCTCAACGTGATCACATGTATACTATTGACCCTCGACATGATCACATGTATAGTATTGACCCTTGTCCTTACAACATGTACAGTCTTGACCCTCGACATGATCACATGTATAGTATTGACCCTTGTCCTTACAACATGTACAGTCTTGACCCTCGACATGATCACATGTATAGTATTGACGTGATCACTTGTACAGTATTGACCCTCGACGTGATCACATGTACAGTATTGACATGATAATATGTACAGTATTGACCCTTGACGTGATCACATGTACAGTATTGACCCTCGACATAACATTACAGTATTGACCCTCGACATGGTAACATGTACAGTATTGACCCTCAAATGATCACATGTAGTCTTGACCATCGACATAACATGTACAGTATTGACCATCGACATGATCACATGTATAGTATTGACATGATCACATATACAGTATTGACCCTCGATGTGATCACATGTATAGTATTGACATGATCACATATACAGTATTGACCCTTGACATGATCACATGTATAGGATTGACCCTCGACGTGATCACATGTACAGTATTGACCCTTGACATGACCACATGTACAGTATTGACCCTCGAAATGACCACATGTACAGTATTGACCCTCGACATGACCACATGTACAGTATTGAAATGATCACATGTACAGTATTGACACATGTCGACAGCTTTGGAATGACCCTCGACTGATGTGGGACCCGGCTTCTGCGGGAGGAATACAGAAGATAGTTGTCAACACCAAATACATCTGGAAGCCACCACTGGTCATTGAAAATGAGTATGTATACATGAGCGAACTGTGGCATTTACTACACCAAGGACGTGAGTAATATTATGCGTAATTTGGTTTGTAAGTAATACTGTGTTCAAATTAAAACTGTCGTAGTTACATAGAGTACTACCTTGCTACCCTCTGAGAAAAGTTGGATGTGTTTTACAAAAAAAACTGTTCGCCAGACATGCACATACATGTATCCTTAAAAAAATGTGAAAAAAAACCAGAACTGAATTTGACCGCTTGCCATGCTGACAAAATACGTTAAAAAAACATAATATATTTGTTCTGAGAATAGAATTGTATCTCTTGAATCAGTGACCGAAAATAGTCTGTGTCTTTGCCCCCCTTTCGTGCCATTTTCCCTTTTCAGCGACCAATGGAATCTTCTGTTTCGGAAGGTGCCCCAGGACTGGTCATCATGTGGCTTTGACGTTTTGAATTTACATAAACCTGAATCACCGACACCAATCTCTTCCCTCCCCAGCATCAACTCAGCGGCCGTTCTAGGAAGCGACGGCACCCCTCTCCGAGTGTTCCCAAACGGCGAAGTAGTATGGTCTCCCCCCTTCTCTACGACCTCCAGCTGCTCTGCAGACATAACGTACTACCCCTATGACAAGCAGACATGTTCTCTGACGCTGGTTGGCTGGAGTTACACCACGGATGAGGTAGATCTCCTCACTGACCCAAACAGTCCGTTCGAAATGAAGTATTTCACCAATAATGGAGAGTGGGAAATGTTGGGCACTGGATACGAATACATTAACGTGACCCAGGGTGATATGACATTCCGGAAACTGGTGTTCAAGGTAACTGTCCGTCGACAATGGCAGTTCTATGGCCTGAACATCATGCTGCCCCTTATCCTCAACTCCATCTTGATGATGGTGGTGTTTGCCTTGCCGATAGAGTCTGGGGAGAAGATGGGGTACTGTCTGACTGTCCTCCTGTCCTACATCGTCCTGCTGACTATGATAGCTGCCAACCTGCCGCCCATATCCAGTCAGACGTCCATCATCCGTGAGTGGCTTAGTGAAGTAGTGGCGGATGTGATGGTAGACGTTACATCATCATTAGTTACATCAGATGTACAGTTAGTAGTTGTAGATGTGTTAGAGTGAGAGTTTAGGGTGCCTTCATTAGTATGTCAGCCAACCACAAATGGGCTTCACTAACTGAACCCAATGGGCTTTGTGAGGCAACAATTTTAACTGTTCGGCTACTCCATCGCCTCATCTTCATCGTAGCAGCAATAGTGAGTGAGTGAGGAAGTGAGTGAGTGAGTTGGGTGTAACGCCGCTATGAACAGTATTCCAGTTATATCCCGGCGTGTCAGCTTACTTAGGGAGGAAAGCCCGAAGTGATGCAGGTCTCACTTCGGTCAAACTCACGAGCACGGTTATGGTGCTGACAAACCTAGAAATGTAATCGGGTCTAACCGGGATTCGAACCAACGGTCATAGGTTTTTGGCGCGCCCAAAGGCTGCAACTCTGCACAGGGAGCAGCATCAGCACCCATCATACAAGACGGAAACGAAGTAAGTCACGAAACAACTTGTGTATTCTTACTTACTATTTTTATCCGATACGACACGTTCTCATTTCTCGATATAAACTTTTCGGAAGAACAGAAATTGGCAGCTGTATGATATGGACCAGAATAAACTGTAGCTGTATGATATAGACCGAATAAGCAGTAACAGCTGTATGATATAGACGATAAGAAACTGTTGCTGTATGATATAGACCAGAAGAAACCGTAGCTGTATGATAAAGACTAGAAGAAACTTAAGCACCTGTATGATAAAGACGAGAGGAAACAGTGGCAGCTGTATGATATAGACCAGATTGGTTGGTTGGTTGTTTAACGCCGCACTCAGCAATATTTCAGCTATATGACGGCGGTCTGTAAATAATCGAGTCCTGACCAGACAATCCAGTTATTAATATCATGAGCATCGATCCACGCAATTGGGATCGATGACATGCATCAACCAAGTCAGCGAGCCTGACCATCCGATCCCGTTAGTCGCCTTTTACAACAAGCATAGTCACCTTTTACGGCAAGCATGGGTTGCTGAAGACCTATTCTACCCCGGAATCTTCCCGGGTTGATATAGACCAGAAGAAACTTTAGCAGCCGTATGATATAGACGAAAGGAAACAGTAGCAGCTGTATGATATAGACCAGAACAAACAGTAACAGCTGTATTATATAGACCAGAAGAAACAGTAGTAGCTTTATGATATAGACCAGAGGAAGCTGTAGCACCTGTATGATATAGACCAGAGGAAACTTTAGCAGCTGTATTATATAGACCAGAAGAAACAGTAGCAGCTGTATGGTATAGACCAGAAGAAACAGTAGTAGGTGTATGATATAGACCAGAGGAAACTGTAGCAGCTGTATAATATAGACCAGAAGAAACAGTAGCAGCTGTATGGTATAGAACAGAAGAAACAGTAATAGGTGTATGATATAGACCAGAGGAAACTGTAGCAGCTGTATAATATAGACCAGAAGAAACAGTAGCAGATGTATGGTATAGACCAGAAGAAACAGTAGTAGGTGTATGATATAGACCAGAGGAAGCTGTAGCAGCTGTATTATATAGACCAGAAGAAACAGTAGCAGATGTATGGTATAGACCAGAAGAAACAGTAGTAGGTGTATGATATAGACCAGAGGAAACTGTAGCAGCTGTATGACATAGACCAGAGAAAGCTGTAGCACCTGTATGATATAGACCAGAGAAAGCTGTAGCACCTGTATGATATAGACGAGAAGAAACAGTAGCAGCTGTATGATATAGACCAGTAGAAATAGTAGCTGTATGATATAGACCAAAAGAAACTTTAGCACCTGTATGATATAGACCAGAGGAAACAATAGCAGCTGTATGATATAGACCAGAAGCAACTGTAGCAGCTGTATGATATAGACTAGAGGAAACTATAGCACATGTACGATATAAACCAGAAGCTGTAGCACCTGTATGATATAGACCAGAAGAAACTGTAGCAGCTGCATGATATAGACGAGAGATGTTATAGCAGCTGTATGATTTAGAACAGAAGAAATATAAACTTTATGATATAGACCAGAGGAAACTATAGCACATGTACGATATAAACCAGAAGAAGCTGTAGCACCTGTATGATATAGACCAGAAGAAACTGTAGCAGCTGCATGATACAGACGAGAGAAAGCTGTAGTACCTGTATGTAGTAGCAGCTGTTGGATATAAACCTGAGGAAACGTAACAGCTGTATGATATAGAGTAGAAGAATAGTAGTAGCAACTGTGCGATATTGACCAGAAGAAGACGTAGCAGCTGTATGATATGGAGAGGAGGAATAGTAGCAGCTGTATGATACAGGCCGGAAGATATAGTCGCAGCTGTATGATATGGAGACGAAGAATGGTAGCAGCTGTATGCTACAGGCCGGAAGATATAGTCGCAGCTGTATAATATGGAGAGGAAGAATAGTAGCTGCTGCATGATAAATAGGCTTAAAGATATAGTAGCAACCCATGACGTCTGTTAATAACATTTTCTTCAAGAATACTTTACTTCTAAACTGTTAAATTGGGTATGAAGAACCATTGTCATGTTGCACTTGAATACGTATACTGTTCAGTTAATAAGCCTCATATGTACACGTGTACATCACCCATGAGTAAATGTAGATACTCACTATTTGTCCTTTTCAGAGGTGTACCTGTCCGTGGTCATGTGTGTAAGCACTGCAGGCACACTCTGCACTATCGTCGTTCTCCGCCTGTACCACCAGGATGAGGCCAAACCAGTTCCACCTTGGCTGCAGAAGGTCACCCAGTCCTTCCTGTCTCCCCTGGCGTGCCTCACCTGCACGTCAAACAGAGTGGTGTCCCTTAACGGAAAGAAAACATCTCCCAAACGTGGCTACAGTTCAAAAGAGATTGCTCACATACTGGACAAATTTCTCTTCCGTATTTTCGGAACCTTCATGACTGTCATGACGATTGGGTTCGTTTTGTCCCTTATGAGTAATTATTTTTGACATGATGATGTGCCGCTCTCTGTGCAGCAACACTTCTTGTGGATGTGGAACTGTTCCGTTCCGATCAGAAACAAGTGTGCACCAGTGCATGTCGTAATCCGCCTGAAACAGTGGACTACTCCAGGAACACATTATTGATGACACAGCCGTACCCCTCGGCACAGGCAGGTCTCACTATTGTCAGCCTACGTTGATATATCTTTAATGGAACACTACTCAGAATGTCAACGTAGGTGGTTTCGTGTATTTGATTTATTGGTTTATTACGATTGTTTATTTGTTTATACACCCAATTCAACTCAATGCGTGATCTTGTCTCTAGAACACATACAATAAATACAATTGTTCTGCAGCAACAATGCAGCAACAGCATGTCGATTTTATTTTGTCTTTTTCACCTGAAACACTTTCGGTAACACAGAGTACATTTATCGTTTATCGTCTCTTGGTAACATTTAACCACTTGTCTAAACTTTGATTCGTGCGAAGCTGAAGAACGTAATGTTGCACATAAATAATACTAGGGCACATGTTACCCTGGACCCTTAGTTTTATATGTCAAGGTCAATCCTGCGTTGGTGAAAGTTCATACCATGGATGTTCATTGAGAATGTGCATTGAACTATGAGCTGTGTCTGGGCGGGCGTCATTCTATGGGAAGTCTAGCTGACCATCAACACCACATAGGGCCCCAGACCGGGCTTATAACGAATATGAAGCTTTTTGAGTCGCCATCAATACGGTGTGTTCTGTATCGGTGGGTGATAATCACTGAGCCACTACCCTAATGGTGGAGCTGTACTGTGGTGCACTACGGGTCTCTAGCCTCTGGCCATCTGTCCAGACGGACACTAAACATGATGTGACGCCCTTGACGCAATGACGCAGTGGACACACGGTATAGATATGACGCAGTGGACACACGGTATGGATATGAAGCAGTGAGAAACTGGGGTAGGTATGACACAGTGAGACACTGGGGTAGATATGACAAAGTGAGACACTGGGGTAGATATGGCGCAGTGAGACACTGGGGTAGATATGACGCGGTGAGACACTGGGGTAGACATGATACAGTGAGACACTGGGGTAGATATGACGCGGTGAGACACTGGGGTAGGTATGACGCAGTGAGACACTGGGGTAGGTATGACACAGTGAGACACTGGGGTAGATATGACGCGGTGAGACACTGGGGTAGGTATGGCGCAGTGAGACACTGGGGTAGGTATGACACAGTGAGAAACTGGGGTAGATATGACGCGGTGAGACACTGGGGTAGGTATGGCGCAGTGAGACACTGGGGTAGGTATGACATATTGAGACACTAGGGTAGACATGATACAGTGAGACACTGGGGTAGATATGACGCGGTGAGACACTGGGGTAGGTATGACAAAGTGAGACACTGGGGTAGGTATGACACAGTGAGACACTGGGGTAGATATGACGCGGTGAGACACTGGGGTAGGTATGACGCAGTGAGAAACTGGGGTATGTAGGACACAGTGAGACACTGGGGTAGTTATGACACAGTGAGACACTGGGGTAGATATGACGCAGTGAGACACTGGGTTAGGTATGACATAGTGAGAAACTGGGGTAGATATGACGCAGTGAGACACTGGGGTAGATATGACAAAGTGAGACACTGGGGTAGATATGACGCAGTGAGAAACTGGGGTAGATATGACGCAGTGAGACACTGGGGTAGATATGACATAGTGAGACACTGGTGTAGATATGACGCAGTGAGACACTGGGGTAGATATGACAGAGTGAGACACTGGGGTAGGTATGACACAGTGGGACACTGGGGTAGATATGACATAGTGAGACACTGGGGTAGATATGACGCAGTGAGACACTGGGGTAGATATGACACAGTGAGACACTGGAGTAGATATGACGCAGTTAGACACTGGGGTAGATATGACAGAGTGAAACACTGGGTTAGGTATGATACAGTGAGACACTGGGGTAGATATGACGCAGTGAGACACTGGAGTAGATATGACGCAGTGAGAAACTGGGGTAGATATGACACAGTGAGACACTGGGGTAGGTATGACGCAGTGAGACACTGGGGTAGATATGACATAGTGAGACACTCGGGTAGATATGACATAGTGAGACACTGGGGTAGATATGACGCAGTGAGACACTGGGGTAGATATGACATAGTGAGACACTGGGGTAGATATGACGCAGTGAGACACTGGGGTAGATATGACATAGTGAGACACTGGGTTAGGTATGATACAGTGAGACACTGGGGTAGATATGACGCAGTGAGACACTGGAGTAGATATGACGCAGTGAGAAACTGGGGTAGATATGACACAGTGAGACACTGGGGTAGGTATGACGCAGTGAGACACTGGGGTAGATATGACACAGTGAGACACTGGGGTAGATATGACATAGTGAGACACTGGGGTAGATATGACACAGTGAGACACTGGGGTAGATATGACACAGTGAGACACTGGGGTAGGTACGACGCAGTGAGACACTGGGGTAGATATGACATAGTGAGACACTCGGGTAGATATGACATAGTGAGACACTGTGGTAGATATGACGCAGTGAGAAACTGGGGTAGATATGACAAAGTGAGACAATGGGGCAGATATGACGCAGTGAGACACTGGGGTAGATATGACACAGTGAGACACTGGGGTAGGTATGACGCAGTGAGACACTGGAGTAGATATGACGCAGTGAGAAACTGGGGTAGATATGACACAGTGAGCACTGGGGTAGGTATGACGCAGTGAGACACTGGGGTAGATATGACATAGTGAGACACTTGGGTAGATATGACATAGTGAGACACTGGGGTAGATATGACACAGTGAGACACTGGGGTAGATATGACACAGTGAGACACTGGGGTAGGTACGACGCAGTGAGACACTGGGGTAGATATGACATAGTGAGACACTCGGGTAGATATGACATAGTGAGACACTGGGGTAGATATGACATAGTGAGACACTGGGGTAGATATGATACAGTGAGACACTGGGGTAGATATGACACAGTGAGACACTGTGGTAGATATGACGCAGTGAGAAACTGGGGTAGATATGACAAAGTGAGACAATGGGGCAGATATGACGCAGTGAGACACTGGGGTAGATATGACGCAGATAGACACTGGGGTAGATATGACAGAGTGAGACACTGGGGTAGATATGACATAGTGAGACACTGGGGCAGATATGTCGCAGTGAGACACTGGGGTAGATATGACGCAGTGAGAAACTGGGGTAGATATGACGCAGTGAGACACTGGGTTAGGTATGACACAGTGGGACACTGGGGTAGATATGACATTGTGAGACACTGGGGTAGATATGACGCAGTGAGACACTGGGGTAGATATGACATAGTGAGACACTGGGGTAGGTATGACACAGTGAGACACTGGGGTAGATATGACGCAGTGAGACACTGGGGTAGATATGACATAGTGAGACACTGGGGTAGGTATGACACAGTGGGACACTGGGGTAGATATGACATAGTGAGACACTGGGGTAGATATGACGCAGTGAGACACTGGGGTAGATATGACATAGTGAGACACTGGGGTAGGTATGACACAGTGAGACACTGGGGTAGATATGACGCAGTGAGACACTGGGGTAGATATGACATAGTGAGACACTGGGGTAGGTATGACACAGTGGGACACTGGGGTAGATATGACATATTGAGACACTGGGGTAGATATGACGCAGTGAGACACTGGGGTAGATATGACATAGTGAGACACTGGAATAGGTATGACACAGTGGGACACTGGGATAGATATGACATATTGAGACACTGGGGTAGATATGACACAGTGAGACAAGGGTAGATATGACGCAGTGAGACACTGGGGTAGGTATGACGCAGTGAGACACTGGGGTAGATATGACATAGTGAGAAACTGGGGTAGGTATGACACAGTGAGACACTGGGGTAGGTATGACGCAGTGAGACACTGGGGTAGATATGACACAGTGAGACACTGGGGTAGATATGACGCAGCGAGACACTGGGGTAGATATGACGCAGTGAGACACTGGGGTAGATATGACGCAGTGAGACACTGGGGCAGGTATGACGCAGTGAGACACGGGTAGATATAACGCAGTGAGACACTGGGGTAGATATGACGCAGTGAGACACTGGGGTAGATATGACGCAGTGAGACACTGGGGTAGATATGACGCAATGGCAGCCTTTATGTCCTCGACACCTCGAAGCGTCTTCCACGTAGAGCAGATTTCATTTGCCGGAACAGGGAATAGTCACTGGGGGCTAAGTCTGGGCTGTAGGGTGGGTGATTTAACTGTTGGAATCCACATTCACGTATGGCGGCCTGTGCAATTCTCGACTTTTGAACCGGAGCGTTGTCATGCAAAAGTAGAATACCGCGTGTTAACATCCCACGGCGTTTCTGGCGAATAGATTTTCGCAATTCTTTCATTACATTAGCATAATACTGTCGTCCATTGATTGTAGTTTTTGGTGTCATGTAATTAATCAGTAATATGCCTCTTGCATCCCAAAATATGGTGGCCATTACCTTGCCAGCAGATGGTTAAGTGCGAAACTTCCTCGGAGGCGGAGAATTGGGGGGCTTCCATTGCATGGATTCCATTTTAGTTTCTGGGTCCCAGTAGCGGATCCATGTTTCATCACCTGTCACAAGACAAGAAAGAAATCCGGCTTCATCAGCAGTATAGAGATCCAGGGGGTCTCGACAACTTTCAGTTCTCTGATGGCGATCTTGAGCTCTGAGGTTTCTAGGTACCCACCTTGCAGATACCCTGGACATACCAAGATGCTCATGAATAATGGTTCCAACAGTTCCAACTGATATTTGGAATTCCCTAGAAAGTTCAGATACTTTCACTCGTCGGTCAGACAAAATTCTTCTTTCTATAGCAGCAATGGTTTCCGGTTGGGTGGCATCTGAAGGCACACCCTTAGGTGAATGAAGCCATCACATCTAACTTATTGTTGTGTCTGGAACTTGTTATGACACGTGTCAACCTGATGTTATGAATAGTGTCACACCTGCCACAAGTTGACATTGTTGATATAAACACAAATGCCCAAGTTGCAAAGCTTATTGAACGCCCCTCGTAAAAGCGTATTATCATAATTGTTCATCACATATATCTGTTTTAAAAATATAAAACGAATGCATGTCGCGTTGATATAGGAATTAGATAGGAAACCTACTTTTTAACCTCTATTGCATTTACTGACAATGAATCTGCAGAATGAAAAGAAATAAGTGTCGGGAAACCGATATCGAGAAGAAAATTCAGCCCATTCATAACTCGACAAAAACGAGAAACGTAAGG